TTGGAGCCACTGTTGGTAGAGTTTAACCTTCCTTTCCTGCTGTGTCTAGCTGCCCTCTTCACTACAGAGATAAATTCCCAGAGGTCTCCAGCTATTGCCAGTTCTTGCAGGGACACATTTCTGCTTCCTGGTGCCCTGCCTCAATTTCCCACAAGCTTGCAGGAGATGGGCTTAAGTATAGTTTGAGGCAGGCTAATTTGAGAACTCTGCTCTTTCCCAATCCTCTCAGTCATACCCATACTGTTTTCAAGGGCGCTTGTATGAGAACCTCTTAAAGCCATGACTGGTCTTTACTGCAACCTCAAATTTTCTTGAAAGGATTTAAAAGTTACTCTGTTGAGACAGGGTCGAAACTTTTATAGAAGATGATAGAAAAATATAGACAGCTTCTCAGCCTTTCAGTGTTGTTCAAAATATAATGGACAGGGACAATTTTTATCAGAGTGAGGCACCGTGTGTAAATGTAATGGGCTTGGCTGTGTTCAGTGGTGGAAAACTTGCCTAGTGTGAGTGCCACCCTTTGTTTCATCTCTAGAACACAGAGAAGGAAAAAGAAGGAAAGAAGGGAAGGAAGGGAGGGAGGGAGGAAGCATGGTGGTGCCCACCTTTAATCCCAACACTTGGGGGGGGGAAGAGGTGGTTGACCTGTTAGTCCAAGGCCAACATGGTCTACATATGGAGTTCCAGTTCAGCTAGGACCACATAGTGAGACTTTGTCTATAAATAAACAAATAAATAAGAAGAAAGGAAGAAAAAAGAAAAGGTATATAGGAAAGCAGCCATAGTATTTAGTGCCATCTGACCATTGTCACTATGGCAACCTACCTGACACATAGTAGACATATGAATATAAACACATCATATGGGCTATGCAGGTATATGTGGACACACAAAGTTAGACTCACCCATAGACATCAACCATACAAATGTGGATATACAAAGAGGTACAAACTCAGAGAGGGAGATTGATGGGGGGGGGTGTATGGTAGAACTAGAACAGGTAGAGGTTAGAGAGATGGCTGATGACTGTGTGGTTAAGGACATAGACTGCTCTTCCAGAGGAATTGGGTTTGATTCTCAGTACCCACATGGTGGCTCACAACCCTCTGTGACGACTGTTCCAGGGAATCTGATGCCCTCTCCGGCCTCCACAGGTACTAGGCACATACATAGTGCACACATAGACATACAGGGAAAAAACACCCATACATAGAAAGTAAACTGAGCCCAGGCACAGGCCTTACAGATAGCGTGTTCTGAGTACCACACAACTGAGTTCTTGTTACTGGGTAGTATGAATCTGGCTGAGATGAGCTATCTGAGCATTTGAGAGCAAAGCCACAGGAAGCGGTGTAGACAAAGAAATGCAAACGCTCTGTTTACGCTCTGTTTGTTTCCTATGTGTTGTACTATTATTTATTTATTTATTTATTTATTTATTTTTATCACCAAGCCAGCCACCTTCATTCTGGTCTCGGACTGGGAATTCACAGGGCTTAGGAAAATCCACAGAAGTCCCCCAGCTCAAGCTCTCTGGTTCAGGTTGCCGTTTCCAGAGGCTTCCAGGGGAGGGTGTGTGTTGAGGAAGCTGGTGGTGTTCTCCAGGGCTCCACCACTTTGACCAGAGCCAGTGTGGTTCAGGACTGATCCACATGTCCATGATCCAGGAAGGCCTCTCTCTTGATGAATTCAAGAGGAATGGCAGAACACGTGGATTCTTCCCAGGGCGTCCCCAGGGAAAGAAGTGGGGCATGGAGGTACAGGCAGACACGCATGCACAGTGCTCACATACCCTCCCCTAACATGTTCCAAAGTCACCCTCAGTAGTGTCTGTTCCCTACAGGACTGGAGCAGAGGGAGGTCGGCAGTCCCAACCGCAGTTCCCCTCACCCCCACCCTTTGCCTATTTTCTCATCCTTAAAGCCACACCCACTTGGAAATCCAGGCTTATTCCCAGGCTTGAGCTTGGAGCTCCCAGAGCCTGTAGCCCACCCCCACATCCTCAGGGGCCACACTGTGTGGCTCTTCCTGCCCCTGCCCACAAGTCAGGTAGACCTGTACTCTGCTCTCACTTCTGTAGCTGAATCTCATCCTGCTAGCCAAGATATGCCAATGAAGCCCTCCTCATGCCTGCTGCTGCCCCCACACAACCCAGTTTGGTTGTCCCTGAAGAGCTTTGTTCTCTCTCACTTTCTTGAGGACTGTAGTAGAAGGGAGGTTTCTATTGGAAACTAAGGGACAGCACCCGCCTCCAACACTGAAGGATGTTTGCCAGACTTCTTTCAAAATTTCCTTTCATCTTCATTATGGGTCCCCAATACACGACGAAATAGAATTATGTGACTCAATCGAGGCTACATGTAGGTAAGGAGAGATACAAGGTCAAGCGAATCAGACTGTTTGATTTTTAGTGTTCTGAGCAAAGCCCATGCTGCAGGTGCCCCAGCTCTGCCTAGCAGACCTCTGCCCTCTGCTCACGAGCAAGCAAGCGAGTGGCGATCTCTCTCCTGGCTGATCTAAAGATAGCAGGCTTTCGCCAGTCAGCCTTGCAACTAGCGGTGCCCCAAACTCCCAGGTCCGGCCAGCCTGCACCTTTCTCCCCTGGTTGTATCCCAGAACCCGGTGTGGTATGGAAACTGCAACCCTGTGAATGCCCAGAGTGAGGCTGAGATTCTAGACTCTCAGAGCAGACAGGTTTAGTCTGGAACCCAAACATCTGGAGGCAAAGGACCGGTCTCAGTCTCCCTCAACCTTACAGAAGCATCCTAGGAAGAATCACCTGGAAGAGGTTGCTGTGGCAACAAGGGAGTTTTGTAAAACTAGAAGAACTCATCTAAGATCAGTGGGCATATGAAAATCACATCAACAGTATGTGTGGGGGATGCCAATCGGGAGGCCTCTCAGGAACCCATGGAGAGTGGGAGAGGGTGGTGGCCAGGGTCTAGTTACTCAGGAAACTGGTAATGAGCAGTCACAAAACAGTAGCTAACAATTGTGGATGGACAACTCTTCTAGATATTAAACTAAACCCATTGATATTCTTTACTTTAAACCCTACAGCAACCCTATAAGGTAGCACAAAATTTTGCCATTGCATTAAAGTGGGAGAAGACCTCCTTCTTTCTTTCTTTTCTTTCTTTCTTTCTTTCTTTTCTTTTCTTTCTTTCTTTTTTCATTCTACCTTCCTTTCTTCCTTTCTTATTCCATTCTCTCTTTTTCATTTCCTTGTTTCTCTCTCCCTTCCTTCCATCCTTCTTTCCTTCTTTCTGAGATAGGGTTTCTCTGTCCTGGAACTTGCTCAGTAGACCAGGCTGGGCTTGCATTCACAGAGATTCGTCTGTCTTTGCCTCCCCAGTGCTGAGATTAAAGGTGTGCGCCACCAATTTAAATCATTGTTTTCTACATCTCCAATGTAGATATGTGCAGCATCCACCTGGAGAGGGCACGTTCACAACGAAGAGAAAAACCCACCTTTCTGATTTAGGAGAGTTTCTTTCTACCAAGTTGTGACTCTTTAAGAAACAGGACAAATCATTAAACTAAAGTAAAAACTAAAACTGCCCAAAGTCTCTGTGTGTGAAAGGAGAGCAGCAATTCCTGAATCTCAGGCTTACACTGTGGGGTACTCAAGAGGTGTTTGGTGCAGGGCAGGGCTAAAGCGATTATTCTGGAGTTGCCTGCCAACTAAATCAACCAACTTTGCTAGTATAAGGCACTCCTGGCCCTGGTCTCTGAGGGTGGAGACTCACTCACTCACACATTCAAACAACAAACAAACAAACGAAACCAAAACCAAGCACTTTCTCTAGAAAAGCTGCTTTGTTTTGTTTTGTTGAGACAGAGTTTCTCATTGTAGCCCTGGCTGTCCTGGAACTAGCTCTGTGGACCAGGTTGGCCTCAAACTCAGATATCCACCTGTTTCTGCCTCCCAAGTGCTGGGATTAAAAGTGGCACTGCTGCCCTTGCCTCAGCGGTCACCACCACCCAGCTTGAAGCTGGATAATTCTCAATGGAAAAATGCTAGTTAAAATTAAAGGGAGTCGGAAATATCCTCTGGAGAGGTTTGAAATAAGGCCAAGGGAATGTCTTTATTACCTCTCACGATATTCATATTAAGCATTTTCCATAAACAACCTAAACATAAGGTTCAGACCTTGAAAGGAGCAACGAACTGACTTGGAAACTGCAGACCTGTCGTCAAAGAACAGCTCATTTTGAAGCTTTAAATGAACACAACCATTTCTTCCCAAACCTTCAAAATACTGGAAACCACGGCAGGGCTCTGTGAGTAGTTTTCCAAGGTGTACCAGGGCACCTGGCTTCCTTTCGGGAAGGTATCTGCACTCTAAATAGAAACCTCAAATGTCAGGACCCTGGAGGTCCCACAAGGGGCACTCTTGTCTCTACTTTCCCTCAGGACCAGCCGTGAAGAGTTTCTGATCTCCAAAGGAAAGGGTGCGGGTTGAAGGATGGATGTTAGTGAAATATTTAGCTAAAGAGGGGAAAGTAGGAAAGGAGGGAGGAGGCAAGGAGGAAGGGCCGGCAGGAAGAAGCACACGCATGTCCCTGCAACTTTGAAACCTCTAGCAGTTCATTTTCATGATTCTGAACCTTAAAATGGTCAGCCCAGCAATTGTTTCTGGGCAGACAAAGGCACCCAGCCCAGCTCTCCTGCTGGACATCGGCGAATGCTCAAGTTTGTACCCTTTTCAGTTTGGAGTCCAGTCCTCCTTATTTGTCCCAGGAAAGAGTCTTGGAGGCAGAGAGAGACATGCCCAACAGAGGCAGACCTGGCCATTCACAGCCTCAAAAGTTCTCCCCCTACCCCCTGCCAAGTCTGCCAGCATCTCTCGGCCATACCCAACTGGCATGTGCCCTCAAGCATGTTCTTGCGTGGCGTCAAAGGTTAAGCCTCATCATTTCCTCCCTTCTAGCTGCCCACGCGCACGGACGTGTCCACATTCCGGGTCTTAGACCCGCTCACCTACAGCCTGCCGTCTTCACCGAGGTTCTTGCAGTCGCCGAGGTGCGATGCTGGAAGGCTGTGGTGATGCGCTAAGGCCTGGAGGCAGGCGGCCCTCCCTGGCTGCAGCGGGGACGCCTGGGGGCACAGCACCACCGGGAGGAGGCGGCGGCGGCAAGGCCAGCAGCTCCTCGCCCGAGGTCACCGCACTATCCTGTTCTGGCTCTTCGCCCCCACCTCCCCCGCTCGCCGTCCCGCTACTTCGCTTTTTATCTTCCTCCTTCTTCCACTTCATGCGACGGTTTTGGAACCAGATCTTGATGTGTCTCTCGGTCAGGTTGAGCATCACTGCCAGCTCCACCCGGCGAGGCCGGGATATGTATTTGTTAAATAAGAATTCTTTCTCCAGCTCCAGCAGCTGCGCCCGCGTGTAGGCTGTGCGGGTCCGCTTGTTCTCCTCCGGTTCCACTGCGTATGCACCGCCTGTGGGCGACACAGTCGGTCAATGCGGTCTCTGGGGCCCAGTACAGCCCAAATATTTCATCCCCAGCCCAGGAACAATCCTCCTACTGATCGTGACAGGTCAGTCCAACCACAGCCCCCTTGCCCAGTGTGGCAGCCCCTCAAGTCGGCCCTTTCTCCTAGACCACAGCCATTTGGGCTCTCACCTCGATATCCCGCTTGGGTCTGCCAACCAGTGGTTTCAAAATGAGTTCATTTAACGGATGTTAAAATGGTTAAAATGCACACAATAGATACTTTGATTGATTCCATCCTACTAAGGTAATATCATGCCTTAAACACAGTATTAAAAAAAGTTAGTTAAAAAAACAAACTTTCTGACGTTGACCCAGTTCTGTCTGACTGTAAGAAATAGGGTTCGAATTACTATCCCGTCTTTACAGGTATCTATAGAACCGATAAACGTTTCTAGACTAAACTTTTACCACCTATAATGCTAATTTTCTTCTTTATTCACCGTTTCGTTAAAACAATGTTAAACTCAGCACATTAAACTATTTTAACAAGATCTGCAACTTAGCACAGTCTTTAATTCCGGCACACAGGAGACAGAGGAAGGGCAGGCAAATGGAGGCCAGTCTGGTCTCCATAACTAGTTCCAGGCCAGCAACAGCAATGTAATGAGATCCTGTCTCAAAAAAAAAAAATTTAAATGAATTTAATGACTCACTAATGGATGCAGATTGAAGCTTGAAAGATCATGTTGCTCATTAATTTATGGGTACATTCTGTTATATCTTTTAACATACATAATTATTTATTTAAATATTTATTATTTTGTGTGTAGAGTATACATACATGTGTTGCAAACATGCATGGTGGGGTGAGGACAACTCTTGGGAGTTGGTTCTTTTTTTAAATCTTAGGTTTCATGGATGGAACTAAGGTCTTCAGGCTGGCAAAAGGATTTTTTTTTTTTTTTTTTTTACATACTGAGCCATGTCCCTGGGTCCATATATTTTTTTTAAAAGTATAGTTATATTGCAATTAGTCCCAACTTGAGAGGTAATTGTTACTTTAATTTCAGTTAGTACCCTGCCTCTGAGAAGAAGAAATCGCATTTTGGGGAAGGCCACACTTAGCAGGAGACAGTTAACTCCCCACTCTGTGTTGTGTCACCAATACTAGCAGAGGCCAGGTCCAAGCTGAACTGAGAGCTATTCTGGAGAAAGGATAGCACCAAGGGACTTGTCAGTCCCAGCTTCAAACTTCGTCTAAAGCAAGCAACAAACCCAAGTGGCCAGAAAGTGAGTGCCACACAGTGAGTCCCACACAGGTTTGGGTCTTCCCTGTCTGTGCAGAGCAACAGTAAATGCCCGGATTGTGAACACTGGTTTAGGGCTCTCAACCAAAGCTAGACGAAGAGGCTGAGGCCGACTTGATTCTCGACAGAGGCAAGAGGCATGAGTGCGTTGAGGGCCAGGGATTAATTTCCTAGATGGAATCTGCTCCTTGGCTTTTCCCAGACCAAGAGGCGGCACCAGAAGCTGAGGTGAGACACCTAGACTGCTCTTTGGAAAGCAGCTCTTCTCTCCAGGAACAAACCACGCAGGCCTTTCCCGAAAGAGGGGAGAGAAGAGACTTACACGGAATGAAGCATTTAAAAAGGCCAACCACGGTTTCATAAATGTAACACACAGATTCTTCGGACTTCTGCCCTCAGCTGCCCACTTTGCCAAGTCCTAGTGAACAGCTATGGGGATCTGTGTCCAGCTAGAGAAAGCCGAGGATGGGAGTTAAAGTTGGAATCTGCTGGCGAGAAAATGTTCAGAGTTCCCCAGTCTGATCTTTTCTAGGACTCAGAGTAGAACGGCCAGTGATAAAGTTCATTTAGCTTCAATTATTTTCAAGTGCCTGTTGTCATTAGTATTCGTATTTCTACTATGAATCTTTAGATCATAGTGTGGTTGTGAAACCCCACTAAGCACACTCAAGAGGGCTCGCTATACTTTGAAGTTCTTCCAAAGTGGAGGCGGCTGGAGCTCCCTGCACACCTCCCTCCACCGAGAGAAGAGAGTCGGACGTGCAGAGGGTCAAAGGGACCCGCAAAGGCTTCCGGCTCCCGAATTCTATAGTCTGAAGTTGTCTCCAAAGTGTTCTCCAAACACAGGAAAAGCTGTGGGCTTTCTCTAAGAATTTACTCTCTGGTTTCTTTCGGCCCTAGTCCAGCGTAGGAGCAGATAGAAAGAGTCTCCAGGGCTCAGTGCAAGGAAGCCTGGAAAGATGGAATCCTTGGAAAGAAACTATGGACTGAGAGCCCCCTGGGCGGAGGGGCCATCTTCCATTAGTCCCCCCCCAAAAAACAAAAAAACAAAAAACAAAAAACAAATGGGTCGTTTTGGCCTTGGCCTTGAGATACCTCTGCAGCATCTACCTGCTCCACCTGCTTGGAATTGGTCAGGGGCGAGGGACTGACGACCCCAGCAAGAGTTTAGGCCCTGTCTTACGTCATTTTTGCCTTGGCCAGGAAATGAATTAATGAGGGGTGCCCCTGGGACCTTGGTAAGCTTGGCTACCCCAGGCCCTCTCAAGAGCATTGCTTGGCTGCTCCTGGGGCAGTGTCAGGCTTCTTAGACAGCCCCTAAAGACTTGAAGTATCAGAGGATGCCAACTCCAGCTTCTTAACCCCTGGTTCCTGACAGTCAGTCGGAAGGCAAAAGCAAAAACAGCTATTTGCAGTACAGGTGTGACCAGAAGTGACTGCAGCCCGGAAGAGATAACATTGTGTAGCGTCGGGCACAGGCCCCGCGCAAATTCGCTGCCAGCATCTGGCTGGGAAGGGACCTAGAGCTTGCTCTGCTTCGCCTATCTGCTGCCAGAACGGACTTAGCACAAAGCAGGCGGTGCCCAGAGCTAAGGAAAGCTGGGGTCTTGCTTCACTGAACCGGACTGCAGGAAGTAGGCCCCTCCTTCTGCATATTTACTCCCTAGGACACAGCGCGAGAAGACCCTTCAAAACACCTTTGGTTGGTCCAAAAAGAATTGGCATCCCAGACGCCTCTCCCAGCTGCCATGCTTGGGAGTCGCCTTTCGGTGAGCCCCTCAGTTTGCCCCAGCCTCTCCCTGTTCACTCCCATTCCTTTCCCTACCCTAGGGCTTCCGGACCCTTGGCAGGCCTGGATTATTGTGATTTTCCTTTTCCTTCCTGCTTTTCGCTTCCATTCGGTGCCCTAGGAGGCCCGTTTTCTTTAATAAAGCCTTTAGGACAGGGCTGGGTAGTGCAGGTGCCTGAGGCTCCGAAAGGGTTACGGCCTAGGTCAGGCAACTTGGTGTCCACTACCTGGGAGTCTTTGGCTTCCAGATCCCCCGCTGCAGAAGGATTCAGAGAGTTCAAAAGCTCTGAGCCTGGGTAGGCCTGGCTTTCTCAGGCATGGGAGCCGGCTCTCAGCTTAAGAAAGGCTTAGGACATCCGCAAGTAAGGGGGAGTGCAGAGTGGAGAAGAGGCTTCCAAGATGGCTCGACTTGTTGCCCTCCCCCGCCTCCATAAACCGGAGTTTATGCTAAGCCTACTTTATCCCAGCGTGTTGGAGAGGAATTCAGAAAAGGCCCAGGGGAGCACTTGAAGATAGTGGCAGCTGAGTCTACACTAGGAGAAAAAAAAAGGGAGAAAGCCAGGCTTACCTGCCCACTGGCCTTTCCACGCATGAGCTTTGGTGGATTTCATCCACGGGAAAGGGAGCTGAACGCGGCTGGGTTCTTCCAGGCCCCCAGGCTCTGTTCCATTCGGGAAAGGGCCGGAGGGCGGGTGGGTGAGCCCGAGCTGAGCTGGGAGGTGGTGGTGGAGGTGGGCCACCGAAGGGTCTTCAGCGAGCGGGGGCACTTCGTACGGGGAGATGTCCTGGGGACTTCCCTGCTCCAGTGTCCCCAGAGCCCCTGCGAACTGGGGTGGCGGCGGAGGTGGGGGCTGGCGGCCCATGTACAGGCACGCAGGGGGGTTAGCGCTGAACTCTGGCACCGGGCCCCTCTGGAATGCGCAAGGATCCTTGTAGAGCTGTGTGGCCGCATAGTACTGCTCCTCACCGTTCATGGTGGCAGCGGGCACTTGGGGGGACAGCAGCCCCGGGTAGGAATCTACAAGCCAGGCCTTGGCGCTGTGCGGCTCGCAGACTCCGAACGCCACCCCAGATCGCTTTGACAGTTCTCCACTGCTCTCCGGGGGAAGCACGGGCTGGCGGGGGACAGACAAGCCGGCCGCCGTGCGATAGGCTCTGAGGCACCCCACGTGGCTCAGCCTGGAGCCATTATTGGCCTGGCGGACGGCCTTAAGAAGGAGGCCCAGGTGCCCGCGAACACCTGCATCTGTTTCAATTTTCTCTCCGAGTCGGCTAAACCCTCCTCTGTCTGCAGCAGGCAGGGAGGTCTCCAAAGCCAGGCGCGCAAAAGTACCAGAGCGTTTATTCTTTTACAGAACCGCTACCTTCGTGCTTTCTTTAAATCTTTACATCTTCCCCCAGGATTTTGTTTGTTTGTTTGTTTTGATTTATTTTGTTTGTTTTGTTTTGTTTAAGACAGGGTCTAATTTTGTAGCCCTTAACCCGGCTGCAACTCACTATGTAGTTCAGACTGGCCTCAAACTTCAGCAATCCTTGTCTTCATCCTCCTCAGTTCTGGGATTATAGGTGTAAGGCACCACGCCCAACTTTTAGTTTTCTTATATTTTTAAACAATATATGTAAATATCAACTCAGTAATATGATTTGCAAAATTTTAAGGTTGCATGTCTCAACTGTTGAAGAATACAGTTTTTAAGAACTGCTTCCAGAACCTAGCTCTATAAGCCAGAAGCTGTTGGGTTTTGTTTTATTGCTGAAACTGCCCCTTATTTGTTTCATTTTCATCTGTATTTGCATCCCCAAATGTGCTGGAGGCAAAGGAAAGTGGCTTCTTTGTGGTTGGGAGGTAGAACTAGGAATTGAAACAAGGTTTTCAGGTCCCTGACTTCTGTCTTGGAGTCCCTAGTGAAATCTATCTGCAGAGAAAACCCACTTCGTGTGTTGTCAGGGCAGCTGGGCAAGGAGAGGATTGGGGTGCCTAAAAAAAAATTAAAACACTGTTGTTCAAGGATACCTATGCCTGGTTTCCACCTATCAGATACTCTGAGAACTCTGGGGGACATGCCTTTAACAGGGTCACTGTGTGTGTGTGTGTGTCCGTTTGCAAGGACCCAGTGGCCATGGTATTCATTCTCTGGAGTGGATATTAGAGGTTGCTGATTCACTGAATTCCTTGGTCCTCCAAAGACACTGGGAGGTTTTGGAAAACCTAGGCCTCTTTGCATCTTTGCAGAGAGCCTCTGTGAAAGAAAGCAGGAGGCACCGGCAACCAAGAGGAATTAATCACTGTAGCCCGACTCAACCAAATTATACACTCACTTTAGACCTTCGCAACATTTTAATATTTTTCTCATAGTAGGAAAACGTGTTTTAAATGCATTCAGATGGAGTGGGCTATTCTGAACAACAATTATTAAAGAAAGAAAAAACTATGGAGGTTTTGTACTCTGACATTTCATTCCCTCCTAGGATTTGATTTGCTTTCGGTCTGCCCAGTGTTGGTGTGCTAGCCTGGACTCTGCTCGGGTTCTCACTGAGAGAAGCCAGACCAGAAGGGAGAGTGTCTCTGAGTTCTTCAGGGAAAAGGGCCACCTGTGGCCATCGGGGGGCCTGGGAGTGAAAGGCCGGCACCAGCGCACCTAATCTCTACAGGCCCGCCTCAATGAGTCCATTGTTCAGGGTGGCTGCCTGGGACTCCACGCTATCTCCTTGACCGCGAGTGGCCACATCGATCGGAAGGACAGGGCCGGTGGGGGCGGCGCGGCCGCAGGGTGTTGACCCTCGAAGATAATCTCCCGAGTGGCAGGTTGACTTGGTGACGCGGTTATGAGCCGGTCTCGAGCTTGGGACAAAGATAGGCACCTTTCCTCACGGTTCCTCCCCTCACCGGGGCACCCCTGGAGCTGGATCCTTGCTGTTCTCTTCCTGCCCTTCTCTTCCTCCCCCCCACCCCCAGCATCAGCGGTCACCCCCAGAGTGTTTACTTAGCACTTCTGGTCTAATTGCGTGCATTTCGGTAAATTGGCTTCCATCTTGATGCTTCGTTTGTTCCCATTTAATATTTTTGCTGGGTCTTGCAAAAAAAAAAAAAAAAAAGAAAGTGTCTCTAAGCAGAAAACAAAGTCAAACAAAAAAGTAACTCCCCCAGCCTCAGCAAAGACACAAGGCCCCCCCCCGCCGCCCGTGTGTGTTTGTGGCACATTCTTGATTTCACAATTAGTGTTTTCTGCCATCTCCTTCCTTTAAAAGGAACCAATGAAACACAGATCCAATAGCCATTTGGTATGACTCTTAGGTAGGCCAAAGTCACCCGGAGGTTTTTGACTGGTTAATGGCTGCATACAGCAGAACCTGCAGCGAGCGAGCGAGTGAGCTAGATCACTCAGCCTTTCTCTGCCTCTCTGGTTCCCAGAGCGGCCAAGTCCATTACAGGTGAAACACG